ATAAACCATTTTACTGTTACAGCTTGGGGATGTGACAAGGACACATCCCCCGCTACTAGCTTAATCTGAGTACCTGTTTTAAGTTACATGCAAAACAGGAGATAAGTTTTATTTTAGATACGTATCTAAAATAAAAGAATTTCATTTCTTTCTTTCAAACATGACAACTCTATATATTATTGTGGAAGTCTAGGTATTCTTCCAGAATGACCACTTGGGCAACTTGTTGACTTCCTTCTTTTGCTGACAGTATGAAAGGCATCTGGAAGGGGGTGAGAGATCTGGCTTCCTATATTTCAATAAAGACAGATGCTTACCCCAGTATAAAAGTCAGCAGTCAGCTGATACAGAAAGCCAACTTCCTGCACTAATAAAACTTATGTTAATGAAATCTTTCAGCACTTCTTTGCTAAACAGGATCCAGTTCTGCAATATTTTACAGCAGTTCATTTCATGGGATGACAGCTATCAAGACCAATAATTTTTCTAGGCATTTACAGACAGAGATGTTTTGTTGTTCTCTAATGTTATCTGATCATCTGATTTAAGACAGTACGGTGACCTGCAAAAAGCTTACTTGTCTTCGCATGTTATTGATCAGTACTATGTAACTAACGATCTTGCTTTGTTTCCCACAGCGAAAGGTCTCAGAGTTGCTGAGTATAATTTACTAAGACTAAGATGAAGTGTCTTTTAAATTTCATCTCACGATCTAGAGCTGGTGATGAGAAAGAAATATGGAAGCTCCACAATTCTTGAGAACCTATAAAACACTGTGCCAGCTTTAGCATTTATCAATTTTTAACTACTGCTACAAGGCTTCAAGCAATCAATTATTTCCCAGCTCCATGACAGACTCAGAGCTATACCAGATAAACCAGAAATCAGTTTTACTGCCTTGTGGCTGGTTTCTAAATACGTTTCTCCTTACCACATTTAAGCCCAAACAAAGCTAGATTTGCTTGTTTGTTTGGGGGTTTTTTGTTAGCACAGACATGGCTGAATTTTCTTCATACCTCACTTGATGTTAAAAATTCAGAAGGGGATAAACGTTTTCTTGGTTGGGGTATAGATGCATTGTCCTTTTATTATTGCTTCCTAAAGAAACTGAGAAACAAATCTCTTTCATTTTCCGAGTCTAGCAATGAATTTGGGAACTATTTTTCACAGTGAAGTGTCTCTTGGCTCTTTTTTTATATCACCCTTCCGGAGTTCTCTGCCATAAGGGAAGCATTTGATTAGCGTAAAATGTGCAGTATTCTGCTAAGGAACCATGGGAGCTATGATGGGAATTATCGGGATGTTAATGAAAAACATAGTTTCCTCCAAAGATGAGCAAAACTTTGCATGAGTTTCAAAGAAAATGTTACACTTTTTAAAGAGACATCAATATGAAAATACAGGTTTAAGTTCTCTTGTGCCAGCCTCCTCCTGTGAGTGCCTGGGTTTGACTCCACCTGACATAAGCTGAAGTGCTGGGAGCAGCACCAGGCCCGTCTCCATCAGGAATGCAGGCGCTTTGACCCAGGACTGAGATAAAGCCTTGCACTGTCCGATTTGTGAAGTGGCGCTGAGGAGAACTGCAACCCAAGGTACATTATTACACCGTGCTTTTCAGTAAGAAGGGAGGTGACAGTGTTTGACCCTGAAAGTAACTGTCACACTTAGCAAATGTGGGTGCTTTTAACGGTAGACTGAACAACTCTTCATTTAGAGGGAAGTCTGTAGCCCTGAGGGGCCTTATTCCTTCTCTGTTATGCTTATCACTTCAGATGTATCATGTATCTTAGACTTAGTTTGCACTGAAGCTCCATGGAGATTGTTTCTGTGTGGGGAAAAAAAGTGTATTTATTTCTACTTTGGAAGATCTGAAGCATATACAACTTCTAAGGGTCATTATTTTTATTCTTTTCCTGTTAAGTGGAGCAGGAAGCACCTGTGTACGTGGCTGTATTCAAGTTTTACTGGATATTTTTTCACTCCTGAATCACACACCACCACAGAATGGTTAAGGTTGGTAAGGACCTCTGGTCCAACCCCCTATACAGCCAGTTGCCTAGCACCATATTGAGACAGCATTTGGTATCTCCAAGATGGGGACTCTGCAACCTCTCAGGGAAAGCTGTGCCAGTGCTCAGTCACCCTCACAGTAAAAAACATTTCCTGACGTGTTTCTGTTTGTGCTTGTTGCTTCTGGTTCTGTCACTGGATAGTACTGAAAAGAGCCTGACTACATCCTCTATGCACCATCCTTTCTCATATTTATATACATTAATAAGAAAGATCCCCTTCTGAGATCTCTATTCTCCAGGCTGAACAGTCCCAGCTCTCTCAGCCTTTCCTCATAGATGCTCCACTCTCTTTATCATCTTAGTGGTCCTCTGTTGGACTCTCTCCTATATGTCCAAATCTCTCTTGTACTGAGGAGCCCAGAATTGGACACAGCACTCCAGGTGTGGCCTCACCAGTGCCAAGTAGAGGGGAAGAATCACTTCATTTCACCTGCTGGCAACACTCACCATGGAGCCCAGGATACAGTCAGTCTTCTTTGCAGCAAGTGCACCTCGCTGGCTCACCTTCAACTTGGCATCCACCAGCACGCCAGGTCTCCAACAAGCTGCTTTCCAGCTGGGTGGGTGGCCCCCAGCACAAATTGCTGCATGGGGTTCTTTCCTAGGTGCAAGACTTTGCACTTCTTGTTGAACTCCATGAGGTTCCTGTCAGCCCATTTCTCCAGTTTTTCATCTCTGCAAGGTTGCTGAGGGTGGACTCTGATCCTTCATCCAGATCATTAAGGAAGATGTTGAACAGGATCAGAGCCAGCCTTGACCCCTGGGATCCACGGACAGTGTCAAAAGCCTTACTAAATTCCAGGTAGGTGATACCCCTTGCTCCCCTTATCTACTATACCACTCATTTCATCATTACAGGTTACACAGGAAGAGAGCCTCTGCACGTAGATGGTATAGAGAAACCTGTACAGTAGAACATAGTTAGTCTGTCTTTTACAGCATTGTGCAAGTGCTTTTAATCAACATTAAGTCAAAATTTCAGAAAGTTCCCTTACATCACCCTGTTTGACACTGCTCCTTTGCCTAAAGAGTATTACTAGTTTATGTTAAATGATATAAAGGACAGATCAATTTTAAAGCCTGGAAAATGTAAACTGCTTCCTATATTTATTTTCCTTCTGCACCCCTTCTGGTTCTGACCGTCTCAACCTGGACAATGTCCAAAGGGACATTTTGACCAGTAATGAAAGCACAGGAGACCAACAGCAAGGACTATGTACAACTGTTAGAACCATTTTCACTGGAAATGAGTCACAGGTTCAAAGGACTATTGCCCTGAACCCATTTCTAATATAAACTAGGACATGTTCAACTGTTTAAGCCTGTCTTATCAGGAGATTCATTGCCACCTCACAGTCATTATCTGCTCTAGCAAAGGCATAAAGCACATGTTGTTTGCCTGCAAATATTCCTACAGTACTCTGCAGTGAGAACAATTCTGCTTTTGCCTTTTTACAAGCTGAGCCATTTGCCTATCAGCAATAATTCATTTGTATGTTCTTTCTACTCAGCTTATACATAAACAACCCTTCTCTGGTCTGCACTGTAAAGGTATGGTTTGAGGTTTTGCCATCATATTCCAAAACAAGTTTATTTTCCTGTTTACATTTTTACCTATGAAAACTTTATTACATAACTAATATACAGAGAAAGTGTAAAGACCTATTTACTTACACTTTTCCACATGTACAAAGCCGAGACTTAAAAGTGCTTTCTGGAATCTGTACCATACTGGATTTCATTAACATTAGAAGTAAATACTGGTGATTTACAATTCCATACATAAAGCCTTTTTTTTTCCTCCAGAAACATGTATATACTATTCTATCAAATTTCACACTATGTGAAAAATGAAGTCTTTTAGTACACTGAAACCTCACAGTGCCAGTGGCTACAGCTGCACTGTAGTTAGAGTGCATTGTATCATACTGCAACCTGAGAGGGGCCACCAAGAATGGAAGTTTCACTATAGGAAAAGCTGATAAGATCTGTGACAGCATTTTGCAACCTGTTTGTTCTCATGAAGTCACTGTGTTCATGAATACCAGACACAACTCCATAGCCTATACAAACGAATATGCCTATGCCAGATAAATAATTCTGCACAAGCTTTCATTCCATAAGAATAATTTTAACTCATACATGAAAGTTATCTGAGAGTTTTATATTGCTTCTCTTTTACAGAGCTGGCATTAAACACTTGTCCAAAGACTTCATTAAAAGATACAACATTGAGGAAAAAGAAAGCTTTTTCATCAGGGAACATTAAGGTTGGTAGTGAAGCATACAAAAGGTAAGAAACACTATAGCAGAATTTGTCAATTCATTTTTAAAACCTCTCTGCTTTGTGTGTATCTATAACATATGCACAGTATGCATGGACACAGTCTTAATTACATGCACATTGTTTCCTGTCATCTCTCAATACCACAAGGAGACTAGCTCCACCTCGCCACAGGTGCTAAGGGCTGTTGCTGAGGCCCCCAAGACAACTCTTCCCCAACCTGAACAATCCCTGGTCCTGAACAAAGCCTGTCCTCCCAGGGCCTTGCCACCTTGGTGGCTTTCCCTGCACTATCTCCAATCCAAGCCATGAAACTAAATGCTTCCTTCCTGTACTAGGGAGAGGTGGGTGGGGAGGGCCCACTTGACCAAATAGTCTAAATGCAGTCTGTTGAGTGCTAAGTAGAGGGCAATAATAGCTTCTTTCACTCTAGTAAGCTCCCTCCCTCATTATTCCTAGTTAAAAGCTACCCTCAGCCAGTTGGCTAGCCTCTTGGCAAGGATGCTTTCACCTCCAATGTTAGGTGGATCCTGCATCTCCCTATCAGTCCCTGATATATAGAAAAAAGATGGCCAGTAATGAGAAGTAATGTGCTTTAATTGCTATTCCCTATAATCTCTGTCCTAAACAGGGAGACTGAAGTTCTTCGGAAGCTCCAAAGTTGCGCTGGCTATTGTTGACATTGAAGAAGAGCAGCTTTTCTGAGAGCTGCTGTAATACTTTTAGGACACTGAAAAAACAAGACAACCATGAAGAAGGAAGTTTGTTCTCCAAGGTGGAGAGAGGCATTGGCCTAAAGCCTAAGGGTAAGGATGGTATTGTAATTCACATTTTATTTGGGAGGTCTACGTTGGGCTACTTTTTAATCGATCAGTAAATCATTTTACCTGACAATGATAGTTGGTTCTGTACTGCATCAACAGTGTCTGGCCAGTGAAGAGAAGCAGGCATAAAAAGTGTATTTTTCTGGTAGGGGCAGACTCAGCCTTACCTGTGTATTATAATATCCTGTATGCAGTCGATGAAAGGCAGGGGAGAATGCAGTTGACGTACGAAGGAGATGAAATTTGCCTTGGGATTTTTCCCTGAAGAAAGGACAATGGCAAGATCAAAATATAAACCTGAAGAACTGACAGCTCCAATAATGGATCCAAATTGGAAATCACAGAATCATAGAAGCACAGAATAGTTTGGGTTGGAAGTTTGGGACTTTCAAAGCTCATCTAGTCCAACACCCCACAGTGAGCAGGGACATCTTAAACTAGATCAGACTGCTCAGAACCACATCCAGCCTGGCGTTAAATGTGTCCAGGGATGGTGCATCCACCACCAATCTGGGCAACCTATGCCAGTGTTTACCAACCTCATTGTAAAAAACTCCCTCATATCTAGCCTGAATCTCCCCTCTTTTAGCTTAAAGCCATCACCCTTTTCCTGTCACAACAGGCCCTGCTAAAAAGTCTCTCCCCATCTTATAGAAAGAACACTTTAAGTCCTGAAATGTAGTCGGGTCTCCCCAAAGTTTTCTTCTCCAAGCTGAACAACCCCAAGTGTCTCAGCCTTTCCTCAGCTTTTCTATCCCTCTGATCACTTCTGTGGCCCTGACCATACTAACTCCATTTCACATGACATCCCTCCAATTCAGGTCACATTTTTGTTAGCCTTCTATAGATTCGTTTTGAGTCAGCTTGACACTGTGTCCAGCAAGTCTCGGGAATTCTTCAAAAGTGAAGTGGTCAGATGCACCCTTCTTGATGACCTTACTTAGCTGTGTGGTATCACGTACTGCATTGTCAGGAAACTGTCCTTCCAACACATGACAATGAGACCGACCTAAGATACTGTCTAAAAATAGAACAGAGGTGTGCAGAAGCAGAGAGACAGTGGACATACACATTACTTCAAGCTGATTTGTAGTAACGTGCTCTGAGTTCACACCAATGACAAATGTTTTGAATTTCGTTATGTATGTAATTACTTTGATAAGAGGAATGCAAAGAAACCATCTTTCCTGGAAAAAAAATAAGGAATGTACATTCTTTCCTGGAAAAAAAATAAGGAATGTACATTCTTAACTGGTTACAGGTACTGTGCCAAAAAGCCTACCCAGACTCACTATTGCTATCATGCAAGAGGACTTGAAAGGACACTACCTATTTTGAGTTCTTATGCCTACTCTTAACTCTTCTGCCATTCTACAGCTCAAAAAGACACAAGTGTTTGTTTTTCTAATTACCAATTCATTTTTCTTCCATGAGTTAATGAAGCAAAAAGAAGCCTTCCATCATCAATCCCCACGTTCTCAAGTGGTAACTGCCCAGCCCTTGTAGCACAGGGGCTTTTCTGACTAAGCTGTTTTGAACATCACCAGTGCATGCCCTTGATTCGTGACAGTGATATCATGGCAGTGACTGGAAATAAGAATGTGCAAGAATATTGACAGCTAAAGATACCACATTGTGCAGGCTTGTGGGGTTGAAATATATATTCAAACTTCAAAGAAACTTCCAAAATTCAGATACATCAATTTTATTTATAGTGGTTTTGGGGTGTTTGTGGAAACTAAACTGTTTGCCTGACTAGATTTGTATGAGCCTTTTCTGCTCCATGCTTTAAAACATACCCTCAAGTCAAGAAGTATCTGTATTCTTTGATTGCTTTTAATCTCAGTTTTCAAAGAGCCATTGAAAAGATGCTTTTCTTCAGCCTATAGCATTTATAAGAGTCAGTGGCTAAACTAAAAGTGAGGTTTTGTCACACTGATCAGTTAAACTGTCAGTGAATTAAAGCACTTGAAAAAAAGGGAAAAACACCCCAACAGTGTGAGAAAAAAAACCACCACGCTGTTTGATAGAGAGAGAAAAATGATCCCACAGTATCAACATCCCAGTAAGATAGCACCTTATCTACAGCAGTCCATCCCATAATACTCAAACTTACAAAACAGTTCGAGCTTGGTCAGTTCTTTGAGCAGTAAGAAAGTTTAAACAGTAAGAAGTTTAGCAATAAAACAGATGGAAAAAACACAATGTCATGAAAGCTGCATATTCTGAATTTAAGTTTTTGGGTTTTAAACAGAATAGAAACAGGCAAACCGTAGAAAATTGTATGCTTTACCCATAAAAGAATTGCACCAATACTGTGCACAGTGACACTGGTGCAGTGATACCGCATGGATGAAATCCTCAGGTGCTTTCTCCTGTTGAAAACAGCCACCATGTTCTGTGAACAGAATGACCTAACCAGGACAGTTAAGGCATCCTCGTTTCTTGGTAGCTATAAAAGACCTGAGCCTATCCTCCATATGGAACTTTTATAGCAAAACTGGGCTCCACACCTACAAAGTAAAGGAGGGGGCATATTAACCTGGTGAATCTCTGCAAGTTTCACTCTTAATGGTCAGAAAACTTGGCTTATTGGTGCAGATGACTTTTACTTGTGCATCCTGCCCAGAGATGCACAAAACAAACTTTTCTCACTCTTGGTCCCTGATCAAAATGTGTTAGTCCTTTCTAACATATTCTTGAACCTGAATTTTTATAACACTACCACAGTTTAAAACTTCCTGAAGGCATAGTAGTTTTGTATAAAATATAATGAACAAAGTAAGGCTGATCCATACCAACACTCAATGCTTGGGCAAAGCCCCTGAAAAAACCCTCCCCACACACAAAACCCATAAAATGCACTGATCAGTTCTACAGTGTTAGGAATTAACATGTTGACAGAGTAGATCACTTAAACTGGCTTCTTCCGTCTCAAAGATTGTTTTTTCTGAGTGGCTGAATATAACTCTTCCAAAGACTCACTAAATGCACCTTCACTAGCATTTGTTAAGCAACACATCTGCCTTTCAAAGAACTAATACATTTAAACTCTTGGGAAGATATCATGGATGTACCTTGCACCCACCATACCACTGTTTCACAAGTATCCAATAACCTGCCCGTGGGACAGATGCATATGGTTACAGCACTTCAGTTCTTTCTTCTTTTTCTTCTCTTTCTCATCAATAACTTCATCCAAGCACCTCCTCCCAGGAGGTCAGCAAAGTCTCCTTTACACGTTGGTTATATAGGTGCTCTACTGTAAAACAGATGCAGGAATCGCAGAAGACAAAAAACCCTGACAAAAGTTTGATACTCATGTTGTAAGGACCAACATGAACGTTGCTTGGCTCAAGAGCTAATGGCAAGCTGGAGAGGGTGGTTCTTTCATAACAGCACACAGCATTGGCAAGAATGATACTTGGACTTCCTTTTAAAAGACATTGTTATTTTAAAATATACTTTAGAAAGGCTATTAAAGAAGCAGCATTGAGGGCCAAAAAAGTATGGCTGTGTAAAGAGAGCCTTAATGAATCTAATCCTGTTAGATTTCCAAAGGCAAATTTAGAGATGATAGGTTTTATCCCTCGGAAAGAGTCTGCCGATTACAAAAGAACCAGCAACTTGAAATCTAGCTCAGTTAAACACCTTGTAAAGAGAAATTACACATACTGGCAACCACTGAAAGAAAATACTGAAGGGAAAGAGTATCCCCCACCTCCAAACTCTTTTAATAGGGACAAGATGTTTGTCTGAAGCTTAAACACCACATAAACACAAGGATCTGTGTTCAATACAGAAATAACTGGACAAAAATCTATGCTATGCTACAAGAAGGAGACAAGACAGCCTGATTTCTTAGATTATGTGCTTAGTTCCCATCTGTCTTTGTTAAAGAAGATGGGGTTAATGTCCCTGGCATAAGTGACTACTCACCTGCCTGCTGCATTCAGCTAATGTAGAGTACTTTTAAAGATACGATTTTGTGGAACATTTTAGTCTGATAAAGCAAATGAGAAATGGACTAAACTCACAAACCAAGTGAAAAAGGCAGGATAAAGCCCAGTGGTTAGAGAAGACCTAAGAGGGAAACTTCAACAGTACCATTTTACTTATCAGTATCTTCAGAGACTCCAATGAGACAGAAAATCCTTAGCTAGTCAGGCAGAGTATTTTAACGCTTACCTTGCTATAAATGGCAATAGATCAATCCATTCTTTAAAATGATATAGCAGCTATACAAACTGTAGAATTATCATAGCCTAAGGACACCAAACAAATGGACAAAATGGCCACACTTAATTGTATTAATCAATCAATCTTCATTTTGCCTGTTTCTCCTGATTTTTGTTACTTATTATTGATTCTGACTAAACTGCCTGCTCAGCTTGCAAAACGTCACTGTGGTCTCAGTCATGTTCCTGTGGCTCCCCCCTGTCCTGGCCTCAAGAAACCTTTGGAGAGCCCAGAGTGAAGGCTACCACCCAGTTTGGCATGGTGCAGAACAACGGGGGAGGTCTTCTCAAAAGAGACCCAGTGCTAGCAGAGCCAAGGGGCTGCATTAGACCAAATATTACTGGCAATTCTACTTCTAGAAGCTTATTCAATGTTCGTCACTGGGCATGGTGCTGGTGTCCAGCCAAACTGTTTTATGGTGGTTTATTCCTAATTTCCTTTAAAGGGGTAAACCTTTGCCAGTCCACACATTATGTTTATTTAAGTTGCTTCTAATTAACAAATACCGAAAATGTGCACAATTAAAACCCATATCAGAGAGGAAATGGGAGTGTTTTGACTACATTCACCTTTACATGAGCAGGCACAACTTAGACCAAATAGCAACTAAGAACTGAGGGTGAATCCTATTTCAAGTCTTACCTTTTTCTAATACAGATTTATGACCAGGAGAGAAGGTGACAGCCAAGGGGAATGGAAACCCTTTTACATTTTTGGTGTGTCTCGGTTTCTGTAGAGCCGTATCACAGTAGTGTCAGGACCCCACATACTCCTTTCTGTGCTGTGAGCTGCTTGTAAGATCATTTGTAAAGCGAGGCTAATACACATTTCCAAAATAAAAAGAAAGCTTACAAATATCAAGTCTAGTTCATATTAGGAAAGCCTTTTTATAGTTACTTTGGAATTCAGTTGTTTCTGTCTGTGGCTTAGCTGTGAATTACTTCATCCCCCACATTGCTCCACTGGTTGCAGCTGTGATAGGAAGGGGAGTTTTAATGACATAAAGACATAGCAGAGAGAAGGATGGCAGATGTGGAACAAATGAAAATGATATTTGTGAGTTACATTCACCAGTCCTTACAAATCAGTAAAATACTGCTGTCTTAGAGATTTCAATAGTTCCAGAAAATGTCATGTTTTTTAACTTGAATGTTTTTAGTTAAAGTCTAGGAAAACTCCTTCAACAGTCATGGTTGAGAACAGTATGGTTCTATATCCATTTTCCTCAGAGGTCTATATTTTGGGCCTAACTTAATCAGCTGTGATATTTAAACAAAAGACACTGGGGTAAAGCTGAGAGTTTTTTCACAGTGCCTATTTGCTAAGTGAACAAAAGAAAATTCAGGTTAAAATCAATGATGCTTCCAACTGTCCTTAAAGATACCATGCAGGCAATAAGCTACTCTGTAAAATGGTACTGTCAACTGAATGTGGGGCTCTGGTGGCTTTCAGTCTTTGTCATATATATCACACATCTTTGGAAGTAACAAAGCAGAACTAAGGTCCTGAAATACAGTGTTAAAAATGCCCCTGTCCTCCCCAGATACCATCCTTGGAGACAAAGCAAGAAGTGAATTTGGAGTTGACATTAAGCTAATTCTACTCAAGGCTGAATCTGACCCACAACCCACTTTATGTGTATTGGAGATTGCTGGTGGGGACTGGTAAGTAAGAGGGTTTTTACTGAAAATCTTAAGACAAAGAGGTGGAGACAGAATGCAAGGAACACTATGTTGAAAGTGTATGACATGGGCACATATGTATCAAATAACTGTTTAACATTAGTCTGTAACTACTAGGGACAGGCTGGTGAGAACCAGTGCCGGGCTACAGAAGTCAGCGTAGCAATGACTATTTGCATAAACTAAAGATACATTGTCTCAAAGGAAAAAGGCAGAGGTTGTAGCATCTGCAGAGGTTTGATCCTCTCCCATACTCAGGAAATCAAGCCTGTTTTGCTCTCTTTCTATACTGGACGGAGTCAAAAAGTTAAGTTTAATGGAAGTTGAAACATAAGACCATATCACTAGTACTTCCCATGGCATGTAAAGAGTCCTTCAACTAACAACAAAACCAGGAATTTTCTTAGACAACAAATTTTCAGTTAGCTTTTTTGTCCTTTTTCTATAGACTGTAGGTGTAACACAGGTTACATTTCTGCTTCTACTTGCTACAGCAAAATGTTTAGCACTTGACATGAAGAGGCAGTGAGGACCACCTGAAACACAGGAGGGTCTATCTGATCACAAAGAAACACTTTTTTCACTTTGAGAATGACTGAGCACTGGCACAGATTGCCCAAGAAGTTGTGGAGTCTCCTTCCACAAGTGTCTTGACTGACGCTTTCTTCCATCAGCCCTGCATTTCCTCTTGTTGTGGTGCATCAGGTGCACTTGGCTTGAAGGGCTGCTTCACGCACAGTTGAATTCCTCATGCTTTTTGCATGCACTTGATGAAGAAATAGCAGGGCTGGAGGACTATCAGGATGCATAAACCCTGAGCCATGTGGTTCTCTTCACTTGCTAAGGTTAGTGATGCAGGAGAAAAAAAGAATGAAACCCTTTAGAAGTGGACTGCAAAATAACACTAACATTTCAAATAAAGCAGAATTCTGTTTTTCACCTGCCTATTTCTACCCACAAAGCAGATCTGGGTGCAGGATGTACTCTGCTTTATTTATCTGATCTGCCAAGCCAGCATTTCATTTGTGGATGAAGTACTTTATGTGAAGATAGCACTGGGCCATGAACAGCCAGCACTCGTTTATGTTTTGAGTTGAGAATGAGCAGTCTGCTGGAAATTTCAAATCAGGAGGCACAAACATGCAAAATAAACAAGTTTCATACAAGCATACGTATTTTGATGTGAAATCTTGAGATGTAGCTGTCACTTAGTGTATGTCTTATAAAAACCACCCTTCAATAAAAAGCTTGATGGAACTGTTTAGCAAGTAGATCAGTGTGGCTACCTTTCTTTTCACTCAACCACATTTCAGATCATTATGCAAATATCTAAAAAAGCCACAATAGAAGTCCCATCACTTACTGCCAAATGCGCAGTGAACACTGAAAGAAACATGTCTTCCTTTTCAAACTGAAATAAACTCTTAGTATCTGCTTCTCCAGCTGAGATGACTTTTGGAATGTATACAGACAGTAGGGTGAATTCCAGTGTATTTGTCATGTAATTATGGCTTTTCCCTGAGATTGAACTGAAGAAGAACTGATTATTATTTCAACATCAACCATCTTGACAATTACAAATATTTGTTTCATAGGGGAAGTGGATGCCTCATGTCCTATTCATACATAGCTTCACACTACTGGAAATACAAGCTGTTTGCATTCTCTGTAGGTTTCTTGTTTACTCCTCCTGTATGAACATTTTACTAATTAAAAAAGAGAAGACTCCCAGATGTAATGTACATTTGTACATTAATCACAAGTAAAGTCTGGGAGTGTGGCTACTAGTTTCTCAACTGTGAAACCACTGCAGTAAAGTTTCCATGACTTCAGTAATAATTATGTTCCTGGAAAACAGAGAAATACTATAGTGTCTTCCTGAACTAAGGTTTGAAAATGGAAAAATTAAGTCACTCAAAGAACTTTAGCTGGGAGAAGTAATATTAAAATTCTAAGTGAGAAAAAAAGGGTCCTTACCATTATTACCTGAAATTGCAAACAAAATGTATGTTGTTCTAGAAAGCACTGCAGTCATGTTATATATAAAGGCAAGGATAAATTTCTTAAGCGCTTAAAAAATACATTCCCATTAGGTTACAACACATTTTCCTAGCTTTTTATAATGTTTGTTTGAGAATAATGAAAGCTTCCCATAATGCATGCATCTTATAATGCACTGCACAAGACAGCTGCCATTTGTGTTTCATGTTTGCCTGTATGAAAACACTCACGTTACGTGAGTTATCCTTTTAACTTAATCTGTGAAAGTTTTATTTTCCAATGGCTTGCCTAAATTCACCTTATTTATGAGGCAATATACAGCGTACAAACCTTTGTATTGATGGAAGATCAGATTACCTTTCTCAGCCATATTCCTCTTTAGCAACCGGCGCACACAGCTTACTCAAATCTAGTGTAGAGCTGAATTTTAAGCATATTTCTTCTTTTGGGAAGGTGAAAAAAGTAAAACTTACTTTAAGAAGTTTTCATTTTGCTGTAGCAGTCATGCATGGACTGTAATTCAAGCTCTTGTAGAACTGCTGCATTCTGGTTTCTTACTCCAGCTCCCTCCTCATGGATCTCCTAAACTGGTATAGACAAACAAAACCAGGTCATTTGTAATCAATTTTGATCTTTCAGATTATTTGAATATTCTTTAGAACTGTGAAATACAGTGGATTACAGTTAGAGTTTTGCTATGGCAAAGCCAAGTCTGTGTTTCTCAATTGGGTGAAAAAAAGAAAGCTAATGTGCTCCATCCAGGTAAAACCAAGTCATGCAATAGAAGATGCTTTTAATATACCAATGTAACAATTATTTTTAAAGTCCTGAGTGAAAAGGAAATAACAGAGTACTTATGTATTCAACTGTGAATGCTACACAGACTTTTAATATTTCTAATAGATGCAATATTTTACTTCTAACATGTAATATTGAATAGCTTTACATGCTATGCACAAAACAATATTCATGATTGATAAAATTTCTTTTCTTTCAAAAGATCCCTTTGAGGCAACTTTAATGAGACACTTGTTGGTGCTATCATGTGGAAATATTCCCAAAATACACACAATATGCAAAAAACAAAAGAGGTTATATTTTAAATTCTGTTTAGCAGTTAAATGTTTTAAACTCATAGAATATCTGTCTTGAGCTGCTTTGTCCAACCCTCCTCCCTTTCCCTGCCTGCTTCATCACACCATTTGGTAGACAGAAAGAAAGAGAACATCCACCATCAAATGTGTGATACTCCAGGCACATCACAGATGAATCATGAACTCACACCAGTTTCAGTCTCCACACTAATGCACACTATATCCTATTCCTCTTTATCCAGTTTTTTATCTCTTCTTTTATACTAAGGCTCCATCAGATCTGAGCTAGGGAATGGGAAAATGGGCTGGATTTGCTTCACCTTACCCACCTACACACACAAGCTGGACCATCCATATGCATACTACTGCATACGGTGTAAGATAAGCAGCTATGTTTAAGGCATATGAATCTAGCATTTTGCTGTCTTTCAGATCAAGAGAAAAGGTCACAGCCAAATCTAGTTAGAACTTGAACTTCAGTTTTTTCATGCTGCCCACAGGTAGCATGAGAGAACTGGACAGATTCTGCATATTTTTTTTACCATTTTTAAAATTTGTTTTTATCTCAAAATTTACTGCTAGGGAGGAGAAGGAATATTCAAAATTATCCAGCTCAATTAAACAACTGAATGTATGAAGTCACATGAAGCTACTCTTGCCAGTTGCCAAAAGAAATTACTGGCCAAAACGATCACCAAAAATCAACACAGACTTGTTATTAATTAATTTAACTTCACAAACTTCTGGGGAATGAATCATAGTACCTCAGACTGGCTTGGGTTGGAAAGGACTGTAAAGCTCATGAGGGGACACCTTCCACTAGTCAAGGTTCCTCCAAGTCCTGTGCAACCTGGCCTTGATCACTGCCAGGGATGGGGCAGCCACAGCTTCTCTGGGCAACCCATTCCAGTGCCTCACCACCCTCATGGTAAAGAAATTCTTCCCTATTTCTAACCTAAACCTCCCCTGTTTAAGTTATAACCCATTACCCCTTGTCCTATGATGAATAGAACCCAGAGCCAAAGTCCAATTAAATATCTGTTATCGCAGAATGAGACTTATGCCAAACAAGTGGAAATCTTTAATCATGATAGAAGTAATTAAGAGTACCTCCACAGTGACATCCAGTGCCTAACTTCTTGCCATTGAGTTGGCACCAGTACTGAACTCTGCTGAAGTCCTTATAGTGTGCGTTCAACATTCAGGTATACTTCACACTGGCCTGGGGGATCATCTTGCCTCCTTCTGCCTCTGCACTTGCTAAAATACAGGTTAAAGAAGTTTTTAAGCCAGGAAGTGTGAGACTGTTGCTCTCAGACTGGCTTTTTTGGAGGTTTCTGCCCTTCTGTGGTTACTCAAAGATAGCATTACAATGGGTGGTTGAGAGGGAAATGGTTTGGCTTAGCTGACCTTGAGTTTAAACCCAGAAATTCATCAGGGCTTTATTATCTTTGGACCAGGCAGAGGGGTATACAACATATATTTTCAATGGGAAAAAAATAGTTTGATGAGAAATTTAAAATCAGCCCAAACTGCCAGAAAAAGCATCAATCTAAAAAGACTTTAAAAACAGGAAAAATACACCAGAGCTGAGGAAATGGAGTATGGGGGAAATAGGAGCAGGTCCAGGGACACAGAGTGATCTGTTATTCTAATTGCTCTGTTTATTATTCTGTAAACGCTCCATCAAATGTTCTCCGTGGTTATCAAGCATATGTTTTGAATGCATTATGTGAAACAATTAGAAGCACGTGCTTCTTTTTCTGTTCACAGAAAAACGCCAACATTAATCTTATTCTCACAGCCTTGCCAGCGCTCTTCTTTGGATAAACACTCCCCATACAGCTGTATTGGACCCCAATCCATTTGACCTTTTGCTATTAAGTTCCCCTTTGCTTTTGCAGGTTGTAAGACTGGCACTTCTGTTCCTTCAGTAATGACCTGGTATAGAAAACACACAGTCTGGAAGACAATTAAGAATAGCTTCTCCAGAGAAACATGAGCATATCATAGCTTGTTCCAATTACAAATATGTTAGCCACTTTTTTTCCCCAAAGATGTTGGAATTTGTTGTTGCTGGTAATGAACATGGGAAGAAGAAGTGTTCACAGTTTTCATAGAGGAGGTGAGGTCCTGCTTCCCTTTGCCAGTATAAAAACGAGTGATTTAGGGAAGAAAACATCTAAGTAGATTTAAACTATTCTCCTTGTTTCTGTAGCAGCCAGTCTTTCGCCAGTCTACTGGCAATATTTATATTATCAAATAAATATTTCAATAGCATAATCATTAATGTAGTAAATATTTATGTAAATATATTAAATAAATACTTAGATTATTAAATAAATGTGAGAATATATTACCCATAGGTCAGCAACAAAAACACTTCTCACTATAAAAGAAGAGTGGCAAAAGCACCATCCAAAGGCAAATCTGAAGCAGCATTCTGAACTTCGAGGTCCTTACCTTTGTCATGAATTTTCTACAAACAATGTCTTTGCACAAAAGGAAAAATAAATACTGTGCTAATATGTGCATTATTTAAAGTGTAGCATTTCTGGTAATGCAACGTTAGAAAATACTGATGAACTTTTTGTTTTTAAATTAGTTTCTCCAAAGCAGATTTTTACTGAAGAGTGTGACATTTCTACTTTCAGAACTGTTGGAGGAGTTAAGTGA